TTGGAGTATCGATTCACGCACACGTCGAGCGAGCTTCCCTAGTGTTGCTGGAGAAACTCCCTCTTCTCCGTTTGGCTGCAACTCACTGTTCTTGTACGATGAGAACGCGTTAAAAATGACATTTCCAACGTAATTATCAGGCAGCGGTGGGTCTAGACGTCGACGAGCGTTAACTCCAGTCGTAATTCTCACATCTTGACCATGACCACGAGCTCTGGATATCAAGACCGTGAAAAGTGCTGTGGTGGCGTCGACTGTGCTCACATAGGACAGCGCAGCGACATCGTCTTTTAATCCACCGCGAGTGGCTACTTCTTTGATTTTACTCATCATTTTAGGAGTAAAATGAAACAACTCATGAGTTGTAGCGGGTGGCACTTGAGCTCCATGTTTCGCTCCAGTTGTTACCTCAACACGAAACTCTGGATGTTGCATCTTCGACGGTTCACCAGTTCCCTTAAGTAAGTGTCGATCATGGTTTACTACTAGTCTCTGCTCCTTGTTCACGCCGCTGTAGTGCTGTCCCCACACCGCCATGAAGGTGAACATGGCTTCACCGTCAAACAGCGTGTGGCTAGTATTGATCCCAATAACCAGTCCTCCGTCCTCTAGCAATGTCCCCTTGACACAAATTAGCTCTGTTTCACCTCGTTTAATCGGCATTAAGTCCCATGATCGCTCCTTTATCGCCTGCTCCGTCGTCATGGGATTCCGTGGATTCGTCTCGAATAGGATCCCTGCTGCCCCCTTTTCAAGGGACTGTGCTGTCTGTTTCACATTGACACTCCCCGTTTTTGGGTCGACGTAGAGTTCTCCGATGAGAATTGGGTAGTCTTGCTCTACGAGGGATGTGAAGGATGACTGCAGCTTGTCGAGGTCGTATGGGGAGGAGGAAGGGGGGAAGATGTACAGGATCACGAAGCCGAAGCTCTGCATCACCGCGTCCATAGGCGACAGAGGCAGAAGAGTTTCGTCCGAAGTTGTGGTCATATTTACTGGTGTTGATTCGAACGTAAATATATGAATGGAGTGAGTGTATGAGGTGGTCGGTGGATCATTGCCGAAATTCACCGCAGGAAACGTTGCGCTCTTGTTCGGTGTGGGTACAGCGCATAAATCCTGTACGAGGTACTGACTTAAGTAGTTTGTGGTAAATTTGTTGGATACTGGTAATACTGGTAATTCGCAGATGTTTTAATGATGGCTACATTTAGGAAGGAATTGTTTCGTATTGTGTAACATACAAGTGTATCCATTTTGACTCGATGGTCTGTCTAAAGCATGGCTTCCTCGCCGTCACTGTCACTCTCTCCCTTCTCCTCTCTCTCCTTTTCCTCTTGCTCTTCTCTTTTCTTCACGGCCTTAATCCTTTCTTTCTCCCTTAACTCCACCATGAGTCCCTGCACCTGATGGCCCTTCCCCAGCGCCTCAGTCCGGTCTACGAAGTCCTCAAAGTTCAGTCCCGGGTACAAGTCGAAGGCCCATTGCTTGTACATTTTAACCAGCGACGCTAGTGCCTGTGCTTCGCGGCCCGATACATCGGCCGAGACCTGGTACGGGAATGTGCGGTGCACCTTCTTGAAACCCTCGGCCGAGGCCAGATGCGACTCTCGGAGCAGGTTTCTCCGCCGCTTCTGGGTCACCACAGGCGCATCCGCGTTGCCAGCGTCATCTCCGCCGTCTTGTGTAGCTGGTGCAGCATCAGCAGTGGCGCTAGAGGCGTCGTCGTGCCGAGCCAGGTCCTCATCGCGTTCCCATCCACGTGACGCCATTTTTTAACGATGGCTGCAGTTTTTAGCGCGAAATGATCGAGTTTGAAGGGATTTCTAATGGTGTGGCGCACATACTGTAGCCATAGACCCAAGTTGAAGTGAAAAATGTACCCAATATCAAACGTTGAAGTGGCAAGTACGAAGTTGCGGCCTTCGTCGTTCGGTGTTCGTCGCCCATAGCGTTCAACATGTCGGTGTTGGGCTTTTACTGTTCGTTGTCCACCCGTTTCTTCGTGTGGTGAACCATGTCGCCACTTATTAATCGTTCTCACTTATTAATCTGTTGCCTTCGACTCACATCAAGTCAAGATGAAGATCTCCTCTCTGCTTCTGTCCGTGGCTATTGCAACATCAAGCTCGACGCTCGTTCTTGCGGCTGAGTGTACAACGGACGACCTCACCGCCATCTCCAACCTCTACAACTCCGCCATGTCCGACGGCACCGCCGCATGTCCGGATGTGACCGCGGCCAACGACGCCACCTCGGCGAACTACTGCACCTCGGACTGCTTGGAGTTCATGACCAATATGCTTGACGAACTGCCAGATTGTTCCAGTGGTGGTGTCAACATGAGAGCGGGCATGCAAGCTGCCATTGACTACTGTGAGGCTGGGACGGCGGATACTTCAGACGTGTTGACTGGATCCACCGGAACTGCCGGGTCTTCCTCCCTCCGATCGGGCTCCTCGACGTCTAACACCGCCGAATCAACTAAAGTGACTGCTGACACGGTCCCGCCGGCAGCGGGAAGTTCGATGGCTTCATCAACCGGTATCACCGTTTCAAGCGTCCTGTTTGCAGTGACGGTATTCGGTGTAGCTGGGCTGTAAGACCTAAAAAAAAAAAAAAGAACCATTGTGCTTAGGTAGCAACGAAAACATTCGTAACATTCATAGCATCTACGCTTACATGTAGATATTGTGAATCGTAATGCTCAAAGTTCAACGCTTACATGTGGAGTTTTCTAGTTTCCATATTTTTTTTGTAAAGTTCGTCTATGGATTATAGAGCTTTCCACCAAAGTTCACTACCTTTTCACCCGCTTATATATCACCACCTTCTTCATTTTCCAATCTCCTTTGCCTACGACAGCACCGCTCGATAACATGAAGATCTCCGTTCTGTTCCTGACCTTTATCATCGCTGCATCAAGCTCAATGTTCGCTCATGCGGCTGAGTGTACCGAAGACGACTTCATCACGATTTCAGAAGTCTACCGTCAAGCCACGGCCGACGGAACTGCTTCGTGTCCGGATTTGACGGCGGCGCCGGATGCCGCCGACTACTGCAGCTACACTGAGTGTCTGAGATACATGACCAGCATGCTCGACGATCTACCGGACTGCACAAGTGCCGGCGTCAGCATCAAAGAAGGTCTACAAGCTGCCATCGACATCTGTGACGGCGGAACCACCGACATGTCGGATATCGTTACCGCCTCATCCAGCTCGACAGACTCGACACCCACTACCGACACGTCTTCGAGTTCTACATCCGCGACCAACACTGCGTCTTCTTCCAGTGCGGTCCAACCAACGGTCTCTCCGTCGGATTCGACCACAAGCGACAAGATCACGGCGGACGCGGCGTCGGGAAGCTCGTCTGCTTCGTCGATTAGTCTTGCCATCCCGGGCGTTGGTGTCGCTATGATGGCTGTCATCTTTGCGATTGGTATGTGAGGAGACTCATTAAACTTTTCATAATGCATTCGTTCTTCCCTTTAACCCAAGAGCTAAAACAACTGGCAGACGCCTCGTGAGACTCTACCTCTGCATGCGTTACAGCGTAGAACGCAGTGATTTTTCGTCGCCTTCGTGAAGATACGACACTTGAGCGAAGAGTTCTTTGAGCTTTTCCATTGCAGTGCATTCTAGGAAAACCAGCACGTCCACTCCAGGGCTGTTTCTCGGTGGTTCGCTTAGAATCACAAAGCCGTCGAAGGGGAGACGGGGAACAGAGACAAGCGATGGATGCATCCCCTTAAACTCCGCCTCATACATGCCCGTACGCACCCACGACGTGTACATGATGTCCGGTCCAAAGACGAAGTTGGTGGCCGGTTGAACAGCCGATAGATTGGTCTGCTCTGTCATAAAGTTGATAGCGTCACGTAGATACTCGTTGTCACTCTGACGGATGGAACCGCGCACACGTTGAGCCAGCTTCACCAATGTATCTTGAGAGACGACCTCTTCGCTAGCCTTCAATTCATCGGACTTGTACGACGATAACGCGCTGAAGATGACGTTTCCAGCGTAGTTTTCCGGCATCCGCGGGGTCAGACGACCTCGAGCATTCACAGCAGTCGTCACCTTGACGTCCTGACCGTGTCCACGCGCTTGAGATATCAAAGCCGTGAAGAGTCCCGTGATGGCGTCGATAGTGCTCACATACGATGGATCAGACGGAGTTGTCGACTCTCCATGCGTTGCTACGTTCTTGATCTTCTTCATCATACTAGGAGTAAAATGGAAGCGATGTTGAGTGGTAGGAGGCGGTACTGGAGCTTCAGTATCATGGACTGCAGACTGAACGCCGACAACTTGGACCTCCGCATGATTGAGCTTCGACGGCTCACCCGTTCCTTGTAGCAAGTGTCGGTCGTGGTTTACCACTAAGCGGTCCTGTTTGTTGAGATCGCTGTAGTGCTGACCCCACGCTTTCATGAAGGTGAACATTCCTTCTCCGTCAAGCAGCGTGTGACTGGCATCCACGCCAACAACGAGTCCTCCGTCTGACAAAAGCGTTCCCTTGACGCAGATAAGTTCCATCGGGGCTCTCGGGGTGGGCATCAGCTCCCACGAGAGCGTCTGCATTGCGTCTTCCGTCATCAATGAGCTGCTTGGGTTCGTCTCAAAGCGAATTCCTTGAGCTCCTTTCTCTCTCGCTTGTGCTGTTTGCTTCACACTCACAACACCCGTCTGTGCGTCCATGTGTAGCTCACCGATGAGAACGGGGTAGTCTTCATTCACAAGAGTGATGAAAGAGGTTTGCAACTTGCTGAGGTCATAGCCAGTAGACGGTGGGAAAATATACAGCAGCATGACTCCCAGTTGGTGCATCATCGCATCCAGAGGAGACAAAGGCAGCAGGATCTCCTCACATCCAGCTAACTCGTTAGCGCCCTCAGGTGTCAACGGCAACGGCAGCTCTTCGCTTTGCGTCGGCGGCATCTGTAATCACTAGAGAGGAATGCGTAATGAGAGCGCTGTGAGGACACGAGCCTCACGTTGCAATGGACGTAAACACAGCAAATCTCAGCATTAATTCATACCAAGTCAATCTCCTAGAGCTGCATAGCTAGAGCCACTAGAGCAACCAACGTAGCTGTCCACACAGTATACCCTTGGCTTGCACCGCTATCTGTCTGTGCGCTGCTGTCTCCGAGCGAGTTGTCCTCTGACGCTGACGCCACGGTCGAGTCGTAGTCAGGGTCGCAGGAGACGGATGAGTTGACTGTCGCGTTGAGGATGTCTGAGTAGTGGAAACTGAAGGAAATGTTGACGGGATTGACGATCCATTCGCACTGGTACCAACTGCCACTCAGCGATTCTCGGTGGTTTTTGTGGTTAAAGTAGCACCTCGGTACGTCGTATCCGAGTCGTCGAGCGAGTCGGCCGCACGGCGAAGCGCAGTCGGCGTTCACGTGGATGTCATAGGCGCAGATGGACGCGTCGTACATGCACGACTCGTTAGTTGCTACTGTCAAGTAGAAGGCCACAGTCTCTTCGATCTCCTCAGCCGTACAATTCGGGTCTACAGTCGTCACGCCGGCCGCGGACCCTAAGAGGTTGTCGACTGAATCGACGTAGACGCTGATGTTTGTGGCGTTGTCCAGCATCTCGCAGTAGCTGAACTGTGTTGCAATATCTTGCTTCTTGTTTCTGTTTTCGTTCGATAATTGATAGTTGCAATTTGGTAAGGACTGAGCAAAGCTGTGTACGGTTTCGGCGCATGTTGAGGTGCACGGGGTGTCGATGATGATGCTGTACTGCTCGATGGTCGTGGAGCTGGCACATGTGCCGTTCGCTGCTTCGTAGAACGCATTGAATGTGGCTTCAGCTTGGGAGCTCGTACAGTTGGTTGACGAAGCTGTAGACGCGGGAGTCGGAGCTGGCGTGGCGCAAATGTCGAGAGATCGAAGGAGTTGGTCCTTCTCAGTCGTTGAGAGTCCTGGTGACGTGCAGTTCGGAATGGTGTTGGCCAGATCGGTCATGACACCGACGCAATCTCTCGCTGAACACGGAGGGGTGATAAGGATCAAGATGTTGGTGCTGGCGTAGCTGGAGCAAGCGCTCGTAGCAGCAGCCGCGGCGTACGCGTCCGTGATGCTTTGGTTTTCTGCGCCGGTGCATTCAGCAGCGTCAACGCCATTAAAGCAGCAAAGCGCCCAGAGCAAGAAGAAAACCAGACGTTGCATAAGAGTGGAGTGGTGGAAACGAGAGATATTCGAGAGTGAAGAGAGACTCCTGCTTCATCCTACCCACTCATCTTATCAACCCTTTAATCTCTGGCTAGAACGTGGGACCCGGACGAAGTATGTCGGTGTTGATGTGCTTGAAGTGTACAGTTGCGGGAAAGTTACAAGATCGTGTATATATATTTTTTAAAACTGCAGCGCGATGCTTACCGCTGCAATAAATGCAGCGCCAATCCACGACATTTGAGTTCCCATCGCGGGAGAGTTGTCTACAAAGTCGCTATTGCTGTTCGACGACATCGAGACTTCGTCCATGACGGCACTGCCGGACGCAGAGGACGGTGTGAGGATTGTGATAGTCGAATTGGAATGGAAGCGAACCGCAACGGGATCGGACGCGTTTCTCTGGTCGCAGTGAGCGAGTGAAGCGTAGGCTTCCCATTTCTTGTTGCTGTTCTCGTAGTCTTTGAGGTAGTAGTTGCAGTCAGGAAGAGCTTCCTCTAGATTCTGCAGTACGGGTGTACACAACGAAGTGCATTCTGAACGCACTTCGACCTCGTACTTATCGACGGTAGACTCGTTAGCGCATGCGGTGTGCGCGGCCACGCCAATGTAGAGCTTCCGCATCACTATGGTCTCTTGCGTTGAACAGTTCCGTGTGGAGGGCGTCCAGTCCGAAACATTGAAAGACGACGAAGATCCCGAGGAAGACGACGACCAGGCCGACGTGAATGACAGGTTCACGAGTACAGCAAGCAGTACCAGCATTGACGAACGCTTCATGGTTATAAGGTGGAATCTAGTCGAGTGAGCGAAGAGTACCGTGGAAATGTCCTCCGTCCATTACTGCGACCTGAACAGTCCGTCAGCTGTCGGCATCGGGAGAGGACAAACCCCAAAGACATGGGCGTGCAAAGGCGCAGCTGTAGTATCAGCGAATACTCTGGCCATACGCTTCATTGCTTGAGGCATGGAGGCATGACGAATGTGGTTGAGCTGAATTTAATCGTTACCTCCAAACCGTTGGTGAGCTTAATCTACAGCTACAGTAGAGCTAATACAACCGCGAAAAACACTAGGCTAAACGTTTGACCGAGCTGCAGCGCTAAAGCGCTTGATGCGTCCGGCGTGGATGACCTTGTTGAGAGGAACAACGTCGTGCTGATGTAGTTGGCTTGGTTCGTCACTTTGCAGTAGTCGATCTTCTCCAGCAGTGCAGTTTTCATATTCGACGATCCGTGGTCGTAGTAGCAGTTGGGGATATCACCCGCTAGTAGTTGGAGCCTCGAGGCACACGACGACGCACACTTGGTGTAGATATACACAGTGTAATCGGTGATAGAGACATCGGGTGCGCAGGCAGAGCTCTTGGCCGCTCGAGTGTACAAGCTCTCGAGGTTTGAGATCTGCGACTCCGTACAGCTCGTATTAGAACTGGTAGCAGCCGGAGACGGAGTGGATGACGAGGAACCACCACTCCAATCAACAGATCCGGCCGTGGATGAAGGCACAGTCGTTGCTGTTGACGTCTCACTAGCATCACCACCCGGACGAGGAGCAAGCGACGACAACGGGGCAAGGGTCTGGAACGGAGCGCTTGTTACAATCGGAGCAGTAGTGATCAGTGGAGCGGCAGTGGGTGGCGTCACGAACGGGGCGTCCGTCTCGATGAGATCGTTCCCGTTACAGGCCGTCATTGCATTCTGCACCTCAATCTTGTTGTTCACCCCACTGACCGTACAGTCCGGAAGCTGTTCACCGACTTGTTCCATCACGGCGACGCACGACCGGGCAGTGCACGGCGCACTAACAAAGGTGTCGCCAACGGCATATTGCGCGCATGCCGACGTCGTCGCTGCTCCTTTCCAGATGCCCAGACTGGTCTGCCATTCTGCTTCCGTGCACTCAGCAGCATTGACGAGATTGTCTAGTCTGGTTGAGGAGACAGCGACTGCCAACAAGATGGTTCGGTAGAGTTTCAACATGACAAATGTCGAGACGAATCCTTGAAAAGCCTTCGCAAATTGGATGTCCGCGACTGCGGTGTCGCTGGGGATTTGGAGAATGAAGTGCCAAGTCGTCGAGCTCACGCGGTGAGCAGTTTGACGTACGACTGGATTGGTGTACCATGCAGCTGGGAGAGTCTCGGATGTACCCGTTGAGTTCCCAATCTGTTCGTAAGAAATAGTGCGGATCTTTGACCACATGGTCAGTTGTTTTGCTGTTTGAAATTGACACGCGAAATCGACTGGAGGCGCGGCCAGGAAGTCAGATTTGCGTGCCAGAATGTTGCAGTGGAACTGAAAATCCCCACGATTTTCTCTAGACGCAACGTCGCCATGTGTTTGCTGTGCAAATTAAACTAAAGTGGCACTACACTTTGATGCAAGGAAATGATAAGAGGGTCCTCTGTGCCGCAACCGATTGCAGTGCAACATGTTTGCTGGGTTGAAACTTTCAACCCAGCATACTTTTGACTTGAAAGTCTAAAAGTTGAATGCTATGAATGATGTTCACGATAAAGGCTGTGGCTACACTGATGCTATTCTCTCACCTAGAGAAATACTGCATGAAGACCGGTGGGGAGTTAAGCTAGAATAATTGCAATTTGAAGAAGTAAGAAGGACCACATTTGATCAATGCCAACAAAGGTCTGCGATAGCCGAGCACTGGACGCAATCCCCACAGTTGATGAATCCAAAGTCTCATCGGCCGGATCTCCCGACAGGAGGGGCTCTGTGTCGGATTCGCTCGAGGAAGTGGATGAAGCGAACTTGATCGGGCTGTCCGGGTAGATGGTAACGCTAATGTGATAGCTGGAAGATTCCCCACAGTCATCAAGCTCCTCGAGCACGTCTTGCTTCTTGTTCATAAACTCGTAGTAATAGTAGCAGTTGGGCAGTGCTTCAGCCAAGTCCTTGATCTTATCGGCACATTCTGAGTCGCATGAGGTGAGTATGTAGACACTGTAGCCATTAACAGTGGAGTCGGCGGCGCATGCATCACTTGTAGCTGTAGACACGTACAGATCCCACATGTCATTGACCTCAGTGGTCGTACAGCCTGTGCTCGAAGCGAAGCCGTCGACGCCGGCGTAGGTGATGACGAGATTATATCAGAGCTTGACGCTGCCGTCGGCGTGCTGGAATCCACTTCGGCCGCAGCATCCATACAGACGCTGAGGTTGTCTGTCAGCTCCGCCTTTTGGTTTGAGCCGTCGTACAGACAATCAGGTAGATCAGCTGTGAGCTGCACCAACACATCGATACAGTCCGTAGCTGAGCACGGTGTGTCAAAGGTTACCAAGAGCGACGAAGAGGACGAGTGCGGTGAGCATGCGGACGTGGCGGCTGCTGCGTGTGTACTCATCCGTCGTACAGTCCGTAGTGGACGACGACATAGATGTTGACGTCGTAGATGTTGGAGTTATTGGAGCTTCTGTCACGGTCGTGGGAGATCCAGCGTCTTCTGTGTTCCCTCCGTTGCAGACTGTGAGCGCGTTCTGCAGCTCGATCTTGTTGCTGACCCCGCTGAATGTGCAGGACGGCAGGTTCTCGGCCACGCCTTCCATAACGCCCACACAGTCGGTCGCAGTGCATGGCGCATTGATGTAGACGGGATTCGTTGCCACCACGTACTGTGCACAGGCGGACGTGGCGGCAGCGTCTTCCCAGAGCGAGTTGGCGTAGGTCGCTTCCGAGTCGGTACACTCGGCCGCGTTAGTGACCGAAGAGAGCGATGCCAACGATAGCAGAAGAGCCGTGACTGGCAAACGCATCGAGTGCTTGGTGGAGGATAAAGGAGACGTGAGTGGTGTCGAAGTAATTCGAGAGTGAGCAATCTGATGCGTGAGCAAGGCGTACATGTATGTCGGGGAAGATAGTGTATCCATTGATCACGTTGAAGTTGGTTTTCACTTTGGATTTGTAAATTGATTCGTAGAGCTCGAACAGCACACCGGCGACGACTACAAAAGGATGGGGCACAATGAAGCTAGCTCTTCAACAAGTGGCAACAATGAGCAATGGGTTGAATAGAGCAGCGCTTTTGCGAAAGCATTATAGATGTAGAGGCTTCGAACTGTTGATCTTGCTGTAGGCTAAAGTTCACATTGTATTCGACAGCTGATCGCTCTTAAATGCATAATCACAAGTCAAACGTGGCGCTTTTGATTATAAATGTAGCTCTGCGGTGACGTGTACCTTGGTAAACACACGTAGCAACATCCAGGATAAGTTCACAAGGAGCTTCATTTGCTAAAGACGGTCAACATGCACATGAAACACTATAGTGGCGGCAGTAACGCGCTCTTCAATCGTGAGATTGAGAGACTCTGGTCCTTAGAAAGCTGGGATGAACGCAATTAGAAGACTGAGGAAAGACCATGCTTGATAAATGCGAGCAGAGGTCATCGGTGGCGCCGCATCATTACCCCAACTGCCAACAGTTGGATCCTGGGTCGTCTCGGTCGAATTCTCCGACACTTGTGTATCAAACCCGGGCGTGTTCGACGATGTGGGTGCAGGGGAGTTAGTCGGACTCTCCGAATTGGTCGAGGACGTGGATGACGCTAACGGCCTCGAACTCTCCGACTCGATCCAGACGTTGAGATTGTTGGTGAAGGACTCCTCGCAGTCAATAAGCCCCTCGAGCACTTCTTGCTTCTTGTTGATATAATCGTAGTTATAGTAACAATTGGGTAGCGTTTCAGCCAGGTACTTGATCGTGTCCACACATTCCGAGTCGCATGACGTGAATATGAAGACGCTGTAGCCATTGACAGTAGAGTCGCTGACACATTCGTCGCTTGTAGCAGCATAAATGTACAATTCCCACATATCATTGACCTCTGAGGGGCTACAGCTCTCGTCAGAAGCTGTTGATGCCGGCGTAGGTGACGACGATGTTGTATCATCGCTTGACGTTGCTGTCGGTGTGGCGGAATCTACCGCGGCTTCAGCATCATCCAAACAAACGCCGAGATTGTCTGTCAGCTCCGTCTTCTGGTTTGAGCCGTCGTACAGACAATCAGGTAGATCAGCCGCGAGCTGCACCATAACATCGATGCAGTCTGTTGCCGAGCACGGAGTGTCGAAGGTTACTAGGAGCGACGAGGAGGACGAGTACGGTGAGCACGCAGAGGTGGCGGCGGCTTCATCGTACAGATCTTCTGTGCTGTACTCCTGATCAAGCGTGCAGTCCGTAGTGGACAACGACGTCGATGGAGAAGTTGTTGAAGTCGTTGGTGGTTCCGTCACAAACGTGGGAGATCCAGCGTCTTCAATATCTCCGCCGTTACAGACCGTGAGTGCGTTTTGCAACTCAATCTTGTTGCTGACTCCATCGAACGTGCAAGAGGGTAGGCCCTCGGCCACAGCCTCCACAACGGCCAAGCAATCAGTGTCACTGCACGGGGCGTCTATGGAGACAGGATCTGTTGACACTACGTATTCCTTGCAGGCTGACGTCTCCGCAGCACCTTCCCAGAGCATATCGGCGAAGGCCGCCTCCGAGTCGGTACACTCGGCTGCGTCCGTGACCGAAGAGAGCAACGCCAGCGAAAGCAGAATGGTCAAGAGTGGCAGACGCATTGGCTGCTTGGGTAGAAGACAGATGAGACTTGAGTGGTGTCGAAACAATTCGAGAGTGAGCGATTGACGAGCTAGCAATGCCGCCGGGCGGAGAAAGTGTATCCATCCATTCATCATGTTGAAGTCGACTTTCATTGGGATTTGGTTCGAACAGCACGATCTAAAACCGTGCGGTACGTCCAGGGGTGTGTGCCGCTGTCTAGCTCTTGAACAAATAGTCAAGTGCACCGGCAATGGGTTCAAATACCAGTGCAACGCTCGTATCGGTTAACTGCGGCGGGAGCTCCAGGTCGTGGTGTACCAGTACTACTGCTACTAGTAGCCTTGCTATGAACCATAGCCTATGGTGACAGAAATTTCGCTTGTGCGGATGCCTACCAAGCAACAATTCTTTTCGTCAATGCGTGTAGTGAGCTACTATGCCGTGACGTCTTGTGCTCAAATGAAACAAACGAACTTTCTGTGACCTACTATCTTGCTGGGATGACGTGAGCGTGGACCATATTGGAGACTCCGCTATCTCTCAAGCGAAAAAATAATGAAATATGAACGCAATGACACATACATATCAGTCTGCGAATTGAGAAGCTTCGTCCTATTACCGGCAGTTAGTTCAGGAAGGCCACAATGATTGCAGCCGTCAGCGAAACCCACGGGAGAATATTTCTATCGCGTGGTGGGGCAGCATTACTCCCGCTTGCAACGTTGGACGAGTCCAGGGTGTTGTCCGACTGATTGTCTCCCGAGTTAAGTTGCTCCGATCCTGAAGCGCTGTCACCTGCCATGGGAGCATTGGACCCGGACGAGGACGAAAACCCCGCAGCGCTACCAAATCCGCTGGCGGCGGACGAGTAGTTAACAGCGTTGTCGGGCAACAGTGAGATACTGACGGAGGTCGCACCCCCATCGCATCCGTCGAGCTGATTCATAACGTACTGCTTCTTGTTAATATACTCGAAGTCGTAGAAGCAATCCGGTAGCTCGTTAGCCAAGGTCTTGATTGCTTCCGTGCACTTCGAGTTGCACTGCGCTATAATGTCGATATTCCCAGGGTTGTAAACGGAGTCTGATTCGCATTCTTCGCCTGTAGCTGTCGCCACGTACAGATTCCACATTCTGATAATCTCCGAAGTATCGCAGTACGAATCCATTGATATGGTCGTCGCTGCCGGTGTTAGCGCTGATGATGAAGACGAAGTCGATGGAGCATCAGTAGCTTCCACCAGGGACCCAGCGTCCCTAGTGTCGCCTCCATTACAAGCTGTGAGTGCATTTTGGACTTCGATTTTGATGTTGATGCCGCTGACCGTGCAGTCGGGGAGATCCCTGGCCACCCCTTCCACGACAGCGACACAGTCGGTAGCTGTACACGGCGCGTTCACCAAGACGGGATTCGTCTGCGTCAGGTACGGCGCGCAGGCTGAATTCTCAGCAGCTTCAGCCCAGGTGGACGCGGCGGAAACAGTTTGGGCGTCGGTGCACTCGGCGGCTTCACCAGTCCAGAAGAGCAAGGCGCAGGACAGCAGCAAAGCAGCAATCATTGTTCGAGTCGGTGGAGACTTGTGCACGGCGATGTTAGTTCGGTGGAGACTTGTGCACGGCGATGTTAGTTCGAGAATGAGCTGCTCGAAAAATCGATATATGTTTCCAGCGTTGAAATGGGTTCCACCGTTTTCTTCATCCGACTCTTGATCAAATAACAGAACGGTGGAATTAGAAGTTATGGAAGTTATCCGACTTAGACGCCTAATGCAGCACTTGTTCATTCTAACTGGAAAGCATATATCTGTACGACAACCTTCTCGCCGGCGGCACTACAAAGGAACATCCTCCAGGTTTCCACGGTCGAAAGGCGATTGTCTTGCTCACAAATTCTGACATTCATCCGAGAAGTCGAAAGTTGACCTCCGTTCTGCACTCATCGGCTCAGTGACATTGGAATGCAACGGTAACAAATTGTGGGTGTTATTTTTATTTATTCGTAGGCATTAGTGTAATTGAGTAACGATCGTACTAGAACTCTGCAAAAAGCATTATCCACACGGCCCCACGTTCGTCACCGTTCATGCAATGGTCCTAGCAGCAAGTCGAAACTCACAAGAATCCCGAGAAGTAAAGAGCGACTGAGAGCTGGGCTACCACGACGCCCATAGCCATGACACCCTTCGAGGCACCCGATACAACCGATCCACTGCCTGTGCCGCTGGCTGACGCTGACTGGTCCAGCACCTCGTTCGTGCTGGCGCAGTATGTGATGACCGTCTGCAGTCCAGTCTTGCGGTCGAGCTCGTCTTCGCCTGTGCAGTCTGGCAGCTGATCCACTGCGTCACTGAGCTCCGCGAGGCAGTCGCTGTTCTGGCAGTAGTCGAGCGATGACACGCCCGAGTCGGCCACCAGATCCCCGCACGCAGTGCTGTTGGCCAGCTCAGTGTACACATTGTCAATGGTGGACTGCTCGTCGTCTGTACAGGTGGCGGCGTTGGCCGAAGATTGAAGCGCTACGAAGGCTACGAGGGTCACGGCGAAGATGTTGCGGAGGGGTGCCATTGTGATCGGGACTGGGGAGTTTGAGTTGTGTCGAGCCAGTCTGGGACTGCCAGTCTCTAGTGGCCGGGAAGGTTCCACGAAGCCATGGTAGCCTTTCACATGCGCTGTACCACACTGAAAAGTTCACATTTTTCGTTAAAAGCCGCAGTTGTCGATTAGTGGATGATACATTTTTGTAGACTGTACCGCATGCGGACCACAGTCGAAGGGTCAGTGTAGATATATCAGCGCTTTCCCCATCAAGAGTCTGACTCTCCACTCGAGATCGGGCAGCTTGCAGCGCTTGACCCATATATTACAAACAGGCATCAATCCTCGCACCCGGCGACGCGGCAGACACTACCATGTTGTCTACTTGCTTCGTGCATTACGCATGTTGTTCACAGCGTGGAGTTCACACGCCAGACTTGCGCTCGTCCAGCACTGACTCGATTCCTGTGAGAGTTTTTATATCTGCGAAAATCGATAGATATGGCTTCAACTTGGTGCCGCACAGGCAGAACCACGAGCTAGATCGAGTTGTGCTCGCCATATTAATACCTGGAACCAGTCCATTTGTGCTTGTATTTCTTAGACGCTATTTTCATTGCAACGCATTTGCTAATTCTGAACAAGACTATTGGCTTCGGTGTCTGATGAATATTTGCTCGCGATCACAAGCTAACCCACGCCAGCACGACAGTGAGGGTCAGCACACTCTCAAAATTGGAGCTGAACTCCACGAAAGTAGCCGCCGACTTTGTGGCGGGTATATCCGTTGCTTGTGAGTCCGCAGAAGACGTGGCTAGTGGTGTTTGAGTCGTCGCTGTGGGCACTGGCGATGTTGTCGTCGCAGCGGGCGTCGTCGTGTTCGGCAACGTCACACCAGCGTCGTCGCACAGCGCAACAGTGTCTCCAACCACTTTCTTGACATTGAGGCCTTCAAAGCTGCAGTTGGGCAGTCGAGCCTCCACGTTAGCCAAATACGCAACGCACGTGGGGTCGATGCAAAATGCCACACTCGTAGCGATGTGAGTTCGCACATTTCCACGGCAGTTTTCTCCGTTCTCCCCTTCCGTGTTAATATCGTTGATTATAGTGACCTCTTCGGCTGTGCAAATAGGGATCGCATCCGCTGCCCACTTAGACTTCCTAACAGCAAAGGCCGATCCAGAATCAGACCCGTCGCACCATGTCACCAAGTCGCCATATATTTCTGCAAGATTGCTGTCGTCCCTCTCGCAGTCAGGTGTGTCGGGAAGTAGCTCGCGCATGAGCTTCGTGCATGCACTCTCACAAAGCTCCGTCTTGGAAATGTCCCCGCTGCTGTTGAAGGAACTGCTCACGCAGTCAGGACTGTCGAAGTACGCCGCTGCTATACTTTTGATCTGCACTCGCTGAAGAAAGGTGCATGCCTTCGCAGTGACGTTCGGTACCAGCACTAAAGTCGCAGCTAGCATCACTACAGTGATGCTGTAGGTGGGCTGCATCAAGGTTTGGTGTATTTTAGCGATTGCTTGAATGCACGGCTGGAGATTTGAGCTTTCGAAGGAGAATTGAGAGTGTCGGTATCAAGCCGAAAGAATGAGCTATGGGTGGTCAGCACCACCGGATTCGAACCCATTTTCAACCATGCTGTGGTCTCCACTGGAAGATTTTACATGTATATTTGTCAGTACGAAGTGCTGCAGAGCAGATCGCAGGGGATTAATTAGTTATTCTTCGATTTTTGTCTTGAAATTTGTATTCAAAAACGTCCGTCACCCCTTCCTTTTGTACCAGGGCTGTACCACCATTCTTCCATCGATCTCAACTCCCTGCAGTTTTACAGTCGAAATTTCATAGCTTCTTAGTGCGCAGCAGGACTAAGGCCCGCGCCATTGCTCAGTTGAAAACATGCGTGGGCGTGCTGCTATAGAAGAACTGGCGTGTGAAGCTGCGCGAGAGTCGCTTGAACCGCGGGCGGCTTGGCAAACGCTGGCTGTACCCAGAGCCAGGGATCCCGAAAAATGCATTGACGGAAAATACAATACAATAACCGGGCTAACATTATTTACTTTCCTAAATATCCACATTAATACAATTATTCACGGATATAATCAGATTCCAGTAGTTACGAATTTTCAACTCAGCGCAGCCAGCCAGCTTTGGTTGGCTGCCTGTGATTGATCGAAACCCCAACGCCTTCAGACCTCACTTTCCATTTCTCCGATGGCAACGCAAAACTACACGAACGCCCGTATAGCAAGCTTCTACTACACGGCTGTGGTCGACGCCTTTGAGGAAACTGTTGAAGGCCTGTTCCGATGTCGTTGCGGGACGTTACGTCGTCAAGGACCCCGGACCGGCTACAGCAACCTAATTCAACACGTTCGGAGTCAGCATCCCGACTACGCCGACGTCATGCGGGAATCCGATGACGGACGCGGAACGCTGCAAGCGTGGATTCGTCAGCGCGCGAGAGACGTACACGGGTGGCTGGACTGGATTTTAACCAGTAACCTTCCACTTCAGTTTTGTGAAAACATGACTGCACGCCGGTACAATGTGAATATTGTTTTATTTCTGTACATTTCACCTGCTAATACTACTGTTTAGATACACTACGCTGGCTCCAATATCTGTTGAGACGCTCCATGCA